GTCCTAAGAATTTTTTATTTTAAGAACTCTGTGAATGTTCTAATACAGTGCTGAACCACTGTCAAGCACTGCACAGGTTAATATCAGGGATTCCCTAAATGTGCACTCAATGTAGATCAGTTGTTCCATAAGCTTGTATTTGATCACCCAAAAGTTGTCAGAGACATTCATTGTCTTATGTACTTTGATATCCCTGACTTCCCAATTCCAAGTCTTCATAATCCACCCTACCCCTTAACTCATATTATTTATTTTCTTTATTACACTCATTTCCTCAAGTCCAATACATAGTTAACTTACTTAAATGTGTTCATTGCTCTGTCACTAAAATATAAGTGCCACAATGGTGGGCATATGTGTTCTTGGTTGCTATAACCTTAGTGCCAAGAGCCATGCTCAGTACATATCTCTTGAATGAATCAATAAATATTCTCTCACATTTTACAATCCCCAGTGAGAGTAGGGACATCTTTATATTTACACTTGAAACTGAGRCTAGAAGGAGTAAAGGGATTTACTCAAGATTACCTAGCTAGTAAGTGACAGAGCCACGATCCAAGCCAGGTGGGCCTGACTTCTGGCCCTTCTGTCGTTGGCACTTCTTCTGCATGTGAACCTTAGTGGTATATTCATCTCAGCTGGGACTTACTGTTCTGTGAAATAGTCTGGAATTAAGCTCTGCATTTTAAGGAAGGATAACCACTTTGATTGTGGCCCCACCCCACTGCAAAACTGGGGAACTGGATAGCAGAGCGGGGCACAGGGAAAGCAGGGGAGCAAGGCATAGTAGGGAGCATAGCCAAGTAATTCTCCAAAGCATTCAGCCATTTTTTGAGACGCACAGATAAAAATATTTGTAGAAACCTTTCAAATACTTCTACCCAAGAGGTTTTTTTTTTTTTTTTTTAAGAGCATTTCAAACCTGATTCCCTACCATCACCAACCCCCCCCATTCCCTGCCCCACCACCGCCACCCGCCTTTCTTCTTGGCAAACCATTGCTCATGCTAAGGTTATAATCTCCCCCACCAAGTGAGTGGAAATGGTTGAGTCAGTTCTCTGGTTTGCTTTTGTGTGATCTGTTTCTGGTAAGCAGTGATGTTTTCCTCTAGTCTGTTACGCCTCTGTACACAGCAATCATGTATTTTAGGGACCTATAAAAGCCTCAAGAAGAGAATAATAAACTCTGTGGAAGGAAATCTTCGAAATGTCCACTGCAGATCCACAGCTGGTGAACAGGGCTGGACCTAGAAATGATTTCAGAAGGCCTTTCTCCTGCTCTTGGGCACTCTGTCTCTCAGAATGAATTAGAGTGATATCACCTTCGCCTGATGTCATTGGGGAAGGAGATATTCCATAGAGGAAAAACTGGAAATAATTCAGTCGATCCTTGTATTAAATTTTTAAATTTATTTTGGCATCAAAAATTAATTCAACCTTCTTTTCATTAAAAAACAAGCCCTCCCTCAACTATTTTGAAGGAGAATATTCAGAGCATAAGAATTTGGGTATGTGTTGAAGATACAAGGTTGGAAAGTCAGTACAGACACTTAGAAAATGGGGTTCTGAGGCCCGCCGCCTTGAACCACAGTGACAAAAGTTACCATTTAGTGAGCTTCTGCATGTTTGTTGTTTGCTTTTACATTGCATGGCCTAAAACTACCCAGTGTCTTAAGTTCTTTTGGCTTTTGAAGCCACTTTTCTGACAGCTCTCTTGCTAAGAGTCGTCAGTGATCCTTTTTAGATGCTCCCAGGGGCCTCGCCTCTAGCAGTAGGACTGTGTTTCACCTCTTTCTTATTCTATCTCCTRCCTCACATTTTAATTTACTGTTTCTGCTTTAACATGAGCAAGTCAACAAGTAACCATGTTTATGAAAATTAAATTAATAGGTCATGAGAGTTTTTCAGTAAAATACCACATAGCGTTTTAGGCATTAACAAAATTGATTTTATCTGCTGTGCTTCAAATCTGTCCTACTTATATGCACTCTCTTTTGATGCTGGACTTATTAGTGAAGAAGACACATTCAWACTTCCTGGTTCCTAACAATTGTCTGAAAAACAGTGATCACTTCTTGTCACACTTCATTTCTCTGTAGATGTAGAAGTTAAAATTTGTGTACTTAATTTTTTTTCCAAACCAAAGCCTCCTTTATGTGTACATTTATTTCATTGAGAATACCTTACKTTAAAATTTCATGAATACATTATGTGGGGCTACATTATATCTTGAAATTATGTTAACTTTGTAGCATATAATCTCATTTGTTTGAAAAACAGGAAAATCCAGTCTGAATTGCAAAAGGCAATTTGTAGAATCAGTGGAAGACATAATATTTTATTTCCCAGTTGTCTGCGATAGCAGTGTTAAAACCTTATTGTGTACCTAACCACATTTTCCCCTGTACTCAGTGTTTTCATTTGGTTGAGTAACATTTGGTCAATAAGACATAATAGCCAGTTTTTGGAACCTATATGAATGAATAGGTAAGAAYAATTTGTAATAAGTATGTAATTATATAAAATCATAAACACACACACATATATATATAATCTATATGTAAATATGGATCATACATTGTAAATGATTCCTAAAATGTTGAGATGGATTCTATTCTTTTGGTTGGCTAAGTATTTCTGCTTTTTAGAGCTACTAATCCTAATTTACCCTTTGTCTATAGAATTCCCCAAATCCTGAAAGTATAATATTTTATAGATTTTTATATTGTGAGAATCTTTGCCTCCTTTCTCTTCTTTGTCCATATTTTCTACTCTGTTAAATAAACCCATGTTTGTGAGTCAGTCTTATTGTGCTATGGGTGTGGGGGGTTGTGAAACAAAACTGTTCTCCTGCATCAGACAGATGATGGCAGGTCGTGTTTCCCAAAGGCTGCTGACGTGCCTGTCCACATGTCTGTCTGCCCCATCAGTCCTCAACATGAAGAGGGTAGCAGAAGAAAAGGCAAAAAAAAAAAAAAAAAAAAAAAAAATTAAAAACCCTCTGTGCCTTGCTGCTTTAATTCTCAAATGAGGAAATAGAACTAGAAAGCTAATCAGAGGCTCTTTCTCCCTTTCCCCTCCCAAAAAAAAAAAAAAACAAAATTGAGACATCAAAGATGACCATTTGATAGTGACATAGGTTGTCTTGCAATTCAAATCATCCCCCTCTCCATCCCTGGGGACCTTGAAGGACCAGGAGATTCCAGGATTGAGTAGTAATRTAGACTCCCTCTGCCCCTAAAGTCTTGATTCCACAGTCTGTCCTTCCTCTCCCACAACTGCAGATCGACGTGTGAACACACTCAGGACTTGTTCCCCCCCCAAAATAGCCTCCATATAAGAAATCCAGGCCTGTGYGGTTTGCTGGATGTTCTCAGGCAGTGTCAGAATTGGTTTGCTGTCTTTTTTCTCTCAGGACCATTCCACACATCTTTTCAGGGTAATTCCAATTAAGATGACATGCCTAGAAAAATTGATATTTACACAGCACAGGATACTCGGTGACTATTCTCTTTTGGCAGAGTGAAAACCTAAATGATGGATTAGCAGGCTTCCCACCTCAGCTGGTTTACTTGAGCCTCCCCTGACTCCTTTGTTCCTGAGGTTAATGAGTCCACATCTCTGCTTTTGGTTTCTACATCGCTCTCTTTAACATAGACTCATCACATCTCTCTGGGGAAAGGCAAATAGAACCTGGCATTTTGTCCCATGCGTTCTTACTGCTGCAGTACAAATGTCTTATTAGATATTCTGGTTCAGAAGGTTCAAGTTACTTTATATACTTGTTCATCTCCCTTTTTTATYATCTATGGCACTACACAAAAGCCCAACCAAGTGGATTTATTTGTTCCTGTGAAATAAGTGATATAAACAGATGGTGACTTATATGTGTTAGTGAAAAAACAAAGCCTGTACAAAAAAGAGATGATTAAAAGTTTTCAGCTTAGTGGACTTTTTTTTTTTAATTTTTTKG